GGGGTTTCCAGTGTGTGGAACATGACATCTGTGCTCTATTACGGGGCAAGGAGTTTCGGAAAAGTTTGAAATACCTTGAGAATCATCAGAACGTGGCAGAGATAGAAGTGAGCACGTGCTTTTGGAAAGAATGGTGTGGATTGACCTGCTGGAGGCAGGGCTGCCATACACCTGCAGTGTGAAAAACGTACCGTCTGTGAAGTGCGAGAAGTCGAGGTGTGCGTGCATTTGGGTTACTGAGTGAGGCTTAGTGCCCCACAGGGCGGCAGGCAGTCTCTGCAGTGGGCCATTCTGACAGCAACGTGCAAGAATCGGCTCGTGGACTTGCTCTTGGGGAGGACCAGTTTTTTACTTAGAGGGAGACCACGGAGCCTTTCTCCAGCCTACTAAGAATGTGGGGCCGCTAGCAGCAAAAGTCAGTTGGGGAGTAGTTTCTTAGAGAATTTAAAACTTTTAGAGGCTTCAACAGCCCTTGTGCTGTCATGGCTATGCATCGGGCTGCGAACCGCAGGGGCAGCACCACTCTTTAGAGAAAGATGGTTAGTCTCGGAAGCACACGGGCCATTCTACCCTGTCTTTAGGAGGGAAAAATGGTGAGAGTTTTTGCTTTTACATAATTGAGGTGACGTGATTTACTGTTCATTCAGCACCTCCTTTATTCACATCTTGAAACTGGACACTTTCTGTTCTCCTGTGGAACATTTCTCCCCCTTAAGCAGTGATGATAGTTTGTTTTTTCAAAAGTGAAGCTAAGAAACTTAGGAAAATAGCATGAGCCAAGGGCAAAGCCTGCCGTGTCATGGCTAAGTCTGTATTGGTGTCCCTTTCCAAGTCTAGACACATTGGGATGTTTGTATCCGTTTGTAGCTGCAGTAACTGCTTTGCCCACGGTGTGCATGAGGTTCATGCTTTATTTACATTTCTTTGTAGATGTGCGCAGGAGAATTGAACTTATACAGGATTTTGAGATGCCTACAGTTTGTACCACGATTAAGGTGTCAAAAGATGGACAGTATATTCTAGCAACTGGTAAGTCATCTTTTGGTGCAATTTATATACATTTTATAGCAGGAAAACTAGTGGGAAAGTGTACACTGTTTGTTTCTTTACCACCTTGCAGAGCAATTCCCAGAGGGAACTCCTGGAAGGTGGCCGTGGGTGCTCATCGACAGACCCGTGTTCCACAAGCGATATGTAGTTATGCTTGCTTGTTCACAAATGCCTCTTTCAGCTCGCTGTCTACTCATTCCGTTTGTGTTCCAGTGCACTTCAAAGCCAATTGTGTTTAATCAGTGTACTGCTCTAAATATCTCAACTGGTAGATCACCAGTTAGAGTTATATAAACATAAATATTTATCTTTGGCCTTTTTTCTCTAGTTAAAATTTGCATAGGATCAAATGCATGTACCTTATAAACTTGCTGTGGAATGAATTTTGACTGATTCATACCCAAACCTCTCTCGAGATACAGAACATTCCTTACACCCCGGAGAGCCCCTCATGTTGCTCACAGTCAGCCCCTGCTCCCACCCATACAGAAGCCTCCCCTTCTCCGTTCGAAGTGTTGAAGAGCAGACGTGTCGCTTGGAGGGCCTGAGTGTGTTTGACCCATCCCGTGGTCTTTTCGTTCACCTCATCAGCATGTGAAAGCGGGACATGAAGAAGGCTGACCACAGCAGAAGGCGTGCCTTTGGGTGATGCCATGAAGGTGCTGTGGATTGCCAGAGGAGCAAGTCTTGAAAGAAGTACAGCCAGAATGGTCATTAGGGGCAGGGGGGGTGAGGGTCTGTCTCATGTACTTTGGACATGTTGCCAGGAAGGACAGTCCCTGGGAAGGGACATTATGCTCAGTGTAGTCAGTACCAGGTCTAGACGGGATGGACTGACACGGTGTCTGCAACCGTGGGCTCAGACAACCAGTGTGTGCTGCGCAGGACCGGGCACGGTTTGGGTCTGTGGTATGTGGAGTCAGAACTGACTCAGCAGTACATAACAACATTTTTTTCCCCCAACATATTTTATTTTGTGGTTGCCAACATAAGAAACATAATAAACAGACATTACAGAAACACACAGCATGAATATGAATGTCCCCAAATTATATTCACAGAGAGAAGTCTCTGTAATGTTAGTACTTTTTCCTCCAACTCTTTAACATTCTTAACAGTTTTATTGTGTGTGGCAGTTACATAATCTCCTGTCAACTCTTGGAGGGGTGGGTCTAGCCTGTCAGGTCGCAGCTTGATGACCTCATCTGGGAGGCACAATCGGAGGTAAATAGCTCACTGGAGGCCAGATACAGGCTCACTCCCTGCGAGACACACTTTGCTTGTCTTCCTGTTGACAAGCCACATGGAGCCACACAGATAGAGCCAGAGCCCTGGAGCTGGAGGAGCCACGTGGAGACCCGCGTCAGCACTGAGATGCTTCCACCACCACTGGAGCTGCAAGACTTCCCACCCACTGGCCTGTGATCTTCAGCATTCGGCATCACTGCATGTGTTGTGTGACTCTAAAGAAGAATTTATAGACTGGTATCAGACATACAGGCTAATATGGGACTTAGGGACTTGATCTGGACTGGGCTGGGAGGTTTTCTTAAAGTAGATTACTCTGATCTGAAGCTCTTTCTTAGATGCACACGAGCGTCTTGACTTGTTTCTGTGGTCCCCAGACTAACAGCTTGTGCTGTGGAGAAAGGTAGCATGGACTGTTAGGTTCGCAGGTTACAATTTCTCGGTGTATTGGTCAGCGGCATTGGTTGTACTTCTCACCGTGTGTCCGCATTCCCATTGTTCCGTCGTGGTGTGTTTTCATTCGTGTAGCTCCCTGCTTCCCCGGTTCTGCTTGGTCTAGGGCGAGCAGTGACTGATCGATCTCACTGGAGGAGCCGCCGGGGCTGCTGCAGGTGGCCGCAGAGTGGCTTGAGTTCCAAGTGCGTTCCTCTAGTTGCTGCCAGTCCCTCAAGTCTGACCTTTTTTGAGAAATTTGCATTTTGTACATTTTTTCCTCAGTGCATTCGGGGCTTGCTTCTTTCTTCGAGTTTGTGGTTTTCTCATTTCTCTTTTGCTCTAATTGCATAGACACTAGTAGTTGTATCTTAGAAGGTTGCTCAGAAACCTGGAAGGCCCAGATGCTAGGTCTCCAACCCTTTTTTTGCACAAAATACTAGGATTATTCTTTATTTTTATGAAAGTCAGATAATATATGCACTATTTTGCCAAGTTCAGTCACTCACTCATTCTTTGCTCTGTATTTTCTCTCACTTGGTAATGCATTTTGAGAGCTTTCCATGTTACAGTGAGTCTGCTTCAGCCTCTCTCTGGACCATGATGGGGCCCACTGTCTGGGCTTACCATTGTCTAATCAGTTCCCTGTCGATGGATAGCCTGTGCTTCCACTCCTGGGCCATGTGCAGTAATGCCACAGCAGACAGCCGTCTTGTCTTTGACCCTTCGTTGCTTAAAAACAGGTACTCGTGTATACCTGGGATCAGGATGTTGTAATTAATCTTGCTGTTCTTTAATATTGCTCTTTTGGATGATGTAATCAGAATGTTGTAATTAATCATGCTATTCTGTAATACTGCTCTTCTCTGGTGTTACAGTTAATCCATTAATGTTGCCCTTCTTGCTCCTGTCAGCCTTGCTGGCTTCATAGAAAATTCCTCAAAAATTAGCCAAATGATCTTTGTGATTTTTGCCTTTATAAGCTCGCTGGTAATTTCACTCGCTGCTGCAGCTTAGGGAGACACGTTTAGTTTCTCTGCAGCCCAGGAAGCTCAATAAAAGACTCTCCTGATTTAGCAAACAAACAAGATAAAAGTTTTTTGACATATAGTCATATACTGTAAAACCCAGTGGTTTAAATATATTAAAACGAGTTGTTTGGTCATCACTACCATCAGTTTTAGAACATTTTCTTCATTCTTGTACCCATTATTAGCTCTGTGTTACTTCCCCAATCTGTCCCCTGCCATACTCCTACTATCTCTGTACATTTGCCTATCCTGTATTTCATGGAAAGAAAAACATACAAGAACAAAATGCAAACCAAAAACCAACAATAACAAAACAGTTAAGCCTCAGTTTAAGAGCAGAAAATAATGAAAACCACAGCAAATTAAAAATCTGTCAAAAGGGAGAACAGTGACATGGTGCTAACGTTTCATCTACTTCTGCACCAGTCCACTTTCCCAGCACACTCTGTCTGACCTCAAAGCAGGCCCCGGCCCCGGGCAGCACTCAGGGCATCTCTGGAGCCTTAATCTACACGGGGATGTGCAAATGGATTATGGGCTTCGTGTCTTTGGAACTTCTATTTTGGGGGGGCTTGGGGGCCAAATTTGTGTAAATTAAATTACAGAGTCAAGATGCATGAACATATTTTGTAAATACTGCCAGATTGTTCTCCAAAATATGCCACCCACAATGTATGAGAATACTTATTTTTCCTTGCTCTTGCCCACACCCGATATTAAGCATCTATTTAATGCTGCCAGTCAGATAGACAGAGTTTCTGTTTTAACCCTCTTCGGGGAGATTACGAGTGATGTTTCCTCGTGTGTAGCGTTTCATGGTCTGTGATTTCCTTGTTTGTGGCCGTTGCTCACGTTCTCCGTGGTACGTTTGGGTGGCCTTGCTCTTGCTGTCACTGTGCCAGTATCACTTACGTAGCTCTGAGGGACAGACACATTGCCCACCTCTAGGCAGGACGTTGTCTGGAAAGGCTGTTCTTTACATTTTACATCGCTTTTTTTTTTGACAGGAACATACAAACCTCGGGTTCGCTGTTATGACACCTACCAGTTATCCTTGAAGTTTGAAAGGTGTTTAGATTCAGAAGGTGAGTCCAAGGTTAGATTTGAACTCATGGAAGTCACTTTTGTAGATAAACTGGTGAACGCGATATGCTTGGATGGGCAGTTGAGTGACATCAAACACCTCCATCATGTTCAGCCCTCAGGAGCAGGGTACTTGGCTGCTTCTGGGAATGGGCGTGGATATGATGGTGTATAACAAATCACCACAAGCTAGTGGCTTTGAGAAATGTCTCTCGGTTCACAGCTCTGTGGGCCATACTTCCATGCAGGCCCTGTGCTTACCGTGGTGGGGGTGGCTGGGTGGGGGCTGAGTTGTCTGGAGGCCCTGGGAAAGAATCTGCTTCGAGAGTTGTTCAGGTTTTGGGGGAGTTTGGTTCCTTGTGGTCTTGGGACTGAGGTCTTTGTTTCCTGTCGGAGCCTGCCGAAGAGTCAAATGGCCCTGAAAGGGGAGTGAGGATTAAGGGAAAAAAGAGACAAAAAAGTATTGGGAGGGCAACGGTGAATACTGAAGCCCTGAGTTTATTCTACATCTTCCTTTTATACATGCAGAAACGACCCGGGGTTTTCTCATTGTTAAGCAAGCACACTGGATACACATCAACAACTCTATGTTTTTCCAAACCAAGCATCCTTGAGAAAATTAACCATCCTGATTTCCCAGAACTCGCATACGTCCTTGTTCTTTTTCTTAGTCTCAACGTCATGCCGCAGAAGCAAACAGCAGATGCTGACAGCTGGGTCGTGAGACTTCTCAGCCGTTTCAAGGCTGAGTCCTGATGGCCTTCAACAGTTTCCTTGCTGGCTGTCAGCGGGCGGTCCCTCTGCTTCTTAGAGCTTCCTTCATCCTTTGTTACCACAACTCCCTGCATCTTTAAGCCAGCAACTGACTTAACAGCTGATGGGGTCATCTGCCTCAAAGTTCCCTGGTTTCTCCCTTGCCAGCCAGCCCTTGCAAACCTTGCTTTAAAGGGCTCGCATGATTAGATAACCTGATAAACTCCGTTGTTTTTTTTTAAATCATTTTTTTGGGGTTTTTACAATTCTTATCACAATCCATACATACACCCATTGTGTCAAGCACATTTATACATTTGTTGCCATCATCATTCTCAAAACCTGTGCTTTCTGCTTGAGCCCTTGATATCGGCTCCTCCTTTTCCCCCCCTTCCTCCCCCTCCCCTTCCCTCATGAACCCTTGATAATTTATAAATTATTATTTTGTCATATCTTACACTAGCTGACGTTTCCCTTCACCCACTTTTCTGTTGTCCATCCCCCAGGGAGGAGGTTATATGTAGATCCTTGTAATCAGTTACCCCTTTCTACCCCACCTACTCCCCACCCTCCCGGTCTCGCCATTCTCACCACTGGTCCTGAAGGGATCATCTGTCCTGGATTCCCTGTGTTTCCAGTTCCTATCTGTACCAGTGGACATCCTCTGGTCTAGCCAGATTTGTAAGGTAGAATTGGGATCATGATAGTGGGGGCGGGTGGGGGGAAGCATTGAGGGACTAGAGGAAAGTGGTATATTTCATCGTTGCTACACTGCACCCTGACTGGCTCGTCTCCTCCCTTCGACCCTTCTGTAAGGGGGTGTCCAGATAACCTCCCTTTTGTCATGGTGTGACTTCAGCAGGTAAGTAACATCCGTGATATCCAAAAGTTTACCCACATTGGAAGAGGAGGTCACTGAGGATTATCCCTAGACCTTGTCTGAACCCAGGTAGCAGGCAAAAATGGGAAATTTCATGTATTTTTATCAGTTGGGCTGTAGTTAGGATTGAGAAAAAGTAATTTAGTAGAATATGGGTTTAATCAATAATATAAACATACCAAACTCACTTGTTTGACCAGTGGGTTTTTGAGAACAATAGCTAGCCCGTGGGCCACTAAGGACAACGTCTCGATGGAAAAAAAGCAACCAAAAGCCAAACTCAATGCTGTTGAGTTGATTTAGCTCCAGTGACCCGGGAGCACAGGGCAGAACAGTCCTGTGGGTTCTGAGACTGTAACTCTTAGAGGAACTAGAAAGTCTCGTCTTTGGCCCCCAGAGTGCCTGGTGGCTTCACACTGCTGACCTGGCAGGCAGCAGCCCCACTCAATCACTGTGCCCCAGGGCTTCTTCGACAGCTGCTTTAGCTCATTGGTTTTCAGCAGGTGTCCTACAACTGGGTAAAAAGTTACTTATCTTTGTTTCAAGTTACAATTGTAAGCATTTTTTTAATGTGTGTTGGAAAACAAAAAATATTCTATTTCAGACATCTTCAGGAAAACAGAAGAATTTAAAAGTCATTATATTTTGGGACTCTACCCAATTTTAATTGGCTTTCATTCTGCAGAGAATCTAGTTGCCCTGTATTGAGAAATAGAAGCAGTGTAGGATGGACATTTTCTTTTGTTTTATGGGTGAGGTATCTGCAAAGAGAAAACAGTAGTACTTATCCATAATTTCTGTGTTAACTTAGAATCCTTGGTATCGAGTTGTTTGCGTTTTTGTTACCTTTCTTTGTAATTGCCTTTTTCCTACCATTTGTTTTTCAGTTGTCACCTTTGAAATTTTATCCGACGACTATTCCAAGGTATGCTTGGTATCAGTGATTTCTACCTGCAGTGGTCAAGAAACACGAGTGGGATTTTGTTTTTGCGAGGCACCTCTTTGTAATGCTCCCGTTGTTAAAGATGACTGTATGACATAAGGAAGTATTTTCTGTTGTCACATTTGTGGTACTTAGTATCCTTTAAAGCAACAGTGTGCAGTATCCCTGGACAATCTAAGGCTGGCGTATTCGAAAGCTCATTTATGTGAAAGGTGGATTACCGGAGCGTTAAAACTATCTGTGTTCCAGATGTGGGTTCTTAGTACGGCATCAGGAGTAGATGCACTTGCCAGGTTGCTCTCAGATTCTAGTTGGAATATGGACAGTGAATGTGGTGAGGCTGAATGTTTAACCGTGTCAGCTGTATGTGACTGAGGCATGTTCTGGAACGGCCCAGTAGATTTCTCGTTTCCTTCTTGGCACGGTTAGTCCAGACTTCAACTCTTAAAGTTAATTTCAAAGTTCGTCCTGAACGTCCTTTATTTAATTTTAGATTAAAGTTTTTTAGTTTTGTTAAATGCCATGCTAGAGATACGGTGAATTATCTGGCTGGCTCAGTCAGTGTTGCTATGCCTTTCTCTGCCCGCTGCAGTTCTGGAGCAGTGGGGTACATGTACGTGGTGGTTTTTTGTACATGGCAACCACATTCCATGTGCTTTTGCACTGCATTTTCTCTAAATACTGATAAATACACACTTAAATACTATCTACGGGTTTTTATATTCTAATACATTAAATTTTATACAAGGAGCTTGTGGGATAATTACAGGGTTACTCAAATAGGCATTCCCGTGAGGTGAGAAAGGACGCGTGTGTTTCTGTGCGGAGCTCTCCGTGGTAACCCAGGAGACCTGAGGTGCTGCGGGGGATGCTCCAGACTCAGCCCACGGCCGGGTTGAAATCCAGCAGCCACTCCTGTGGGGCAATGCTGCGGCTGTCTGCTTCCGGAAAGGTGTCTAGCCTTGGAAACCTCCGATTGGGTTGCTGTGAGCCAGACTGGAGGCAGGGGCAGCTCGTTTGGTTTGGACTGGGAGCCAAACAAAGGAAGGACACCCACGTTTTCAGTCAGAAATTCAGCCTTGCAGAGAAACCAATGGAAAGACAGTGTCTGTACGAGGGGCCTTCAAAGAGTTTGTAGCAAATGGAATGAAAAGGTAATGGGATTTTCTCAGGAACTTTTGGAAGCCCTTCAGTACGTAGGTGCTGGCGAGAGAGAGAGGGAGGGGTGAAGCGTTTTCTTTGTTTAGCTTTCATGGTAATGATGAAATAATGCAGCATCCTAGAAATCTTTGCAAACTAATTTCCTCATTTCATTTTCAGATTGTTTTCCTACACAATGACAGATACATTGAATTTCACTCACAACAAGGTTTTTACTACAAAACCCGGATACCAAAGTTTGGGAGAGACTTCTCATACCATTACCCGTCCTGCGATTTGTACTTTGTTGGTGCAAGGTAGTGCATTTCATCAGGCTTTGTTTCCATCTTCCCCCCCCTCCCCAAATCGCTTCTGTTTCTAAAATGTGTTTTATTCTTTATCTATTTAGATAACCTGCTTTAAAATATTTAAAAGTGACATATGGTTATTGTTAAAAAAAAAACCCCACACCTTAGAAATCACGGATAAGCCACACACACACACACACACACACACACACACACACACAGCCCTGTTCAACTCTAAAGATGCTTTTTCTAATTTAAAGCATGTCTGTGGTCGTTATATTCTTCAGCCCTGGGCCAGGACATCCTGGTGGGAAAAGACAAGCCTGTGTGACACGGTCCAGCCGTCCCGTGTGTTAGACCCGGTGCTCTTCTCTCTTGCTTTCCCAGCTTTCTGTTTGTCTCCAAATGCAAGTAGCTGCTGATTTAAGTGTGTCTCAGCACCAGCGATGAGGTTATATCTGCACCACTTTGTGATTAAGGCCCTCTGTATTTATGAGCTCTGATCAACAATAGGGAAATAAGGGAAGGAGTCTGACGAAGAATAGTAAGGTTTGGTCTGTCGTTAGCTTGCTTACGGAGTCGGACTCTGAGGTGACTGCTCGTTTAGGAATTGCGCCCTTTTCTTTGATTACCCCCAGCCTGGGCAAAGGTGTAGGTAACCAAGAGGAGGTGATTCGGCCACCGGGGAAGCCATTTTCATTGCCTTTATTGCATGGTATTTGAAAACTTTATTCCTAAATGCTTGCCCTTTTTACGACTCAAGGCTCGTGTGCATGTTTTAGAAAATTAGGAAAACATCAGAAAGCATCATGAAGAAAGACCTCGCTCATTATTACCATCTAGGGAACACTTACTGTATTTCCTGCGCGGTTTCATGTGTGTCCATTGCTTCATTCTGTATGCATTTGGGGCTCTTGCCATTACGCACATCCTCCATGTTACTTTAAGTGATTGTCTGCTTCATGGCTTCATATTTCTTGGGCACATGGTTGGTTTAGGTCACTTTCCTATGTGAACAAATTCACAAATGATTAATTCTTTTGGCGAGGGAAGTTTGGCCTATGTAGTAATACTTTATTTTGTAAGAAGCAATACCAAACTAGTTCCAAGGAGCTGGAGACTGAAAAAGTCCTGAAAGTCCATCACTTGGAGGATGAGCGTCTGCTCCAGCCCGCCCCCCTCGCTTACCCCTTGAGTCCCCCCATTTCTCTGGGTTCTTCGGATTGCTGCCATGTCCCATGGAACTCTCTCCCCAGTGGTGAGCCCAGTGCCGTCCACACTGAGACAGTCTGGACCAGCTGCTGGAGCCAGAGCACCCAGGCCCCCCCGGCTCGTGCCAGTCAGGAGCTCACCCTCTGCCCCAGTGGGCTCGTTGCCGACGCAGCACACTGGTCTCGCAGTTACGCACAGGTGAAGGCTCTCAGTATCTCCCCCACCTGCTCACCAGACTCCTGTAGGGAAAGGTCATTTGGTGGGATTAAATTTCACCCAAATGTGTTACTCTAGTCTGTGTACCTTATTTGTGCATGTGTGACCTGGGGCCCTTGGCAAGATGCGTCCAGCAGGCCTGACCTCCTGTTAACCAGCCAGGGTTATTGAGTAGTGTGCCCTCTCCTCACAGCTGTGGCTTAGAATCCTGACATCCCTTTTAAGTAACCAAGAGAACCACTAAACAGTGTGGCCCCGTTCCCACCCACCACTAGGGCCCCAGGAATGGCACAGGAGGGCGAAGTCCAGAGAGATTGTAGCTCATACCAGTGGTCATGGCTGGAAGGGCCATGCTCCTTGAGTATAACTCCGGGTGCATATTTGTGTCAGTTTTTCAGAGGAAATGATGCTTTATGAGTGAATTGGTATTTTACTGAGAGAAATGAAATGTCTACTGTAGTTTACCATATTTAAATTTTGCTTTATTATTTTGTAGCTCTGAAGTTTATAGATTAAATCTAGAGCAAGGACGGTACCTGAATCCTCTACAAACTGATGCTGCGTGAGTATTTTTAGCGATATTGGTAGCTTTTGACCAGGAGATGGAGCTAGATCTCAACTTGTTATAAAACTGTCAACACAGAAATAGCATGATGTACACTTTCCCTTAAAACAGCAACGACGAAATTCGTTGAAAGACTTGGTCATTTCTTAGACATTTTAATTTAGGAAGTTTTAAGAAGTGTATGCAAAACTTTAAAACTTCCCCCCAAAAACCTCAACTCACATGACTTTTGCTTACTGATGCTGACTCCCAAGGATACAAAATTATTAACTCTTCTTGTTGGTGCAGTCCGTAGGTTCCCAAACGTATTTGGCCTGCAGCCCCCTTTCCAGAAAAAACCAACAACAAGACCTCGTTATGCCCCCGGCAGTTAGAACCCCTCTCCGAGTGCCCATAATCCAGCGCAGGTGTGGGTTTCTGCACCGGCCCCCATTCGGGGAAACACTGGTGGCAAAAGCCACTTAGGAATGGGTATTTATTGTAGCAAAGACGGCTACATTCCACTCAGGTCTTTTCTGATGTAGCCACTTACAGCATTCTGCTTACAATAGGTTGTTTTTCATTCAAATGTGAAGCTGAATTTTAGCCAAGTGAACTGAACCATTTGAACCTCCAGTGAACTTGAAATTGTCATTCCTGGCTTTGTTGTGCTTTCTTCTGTGGCAAAATCTTGAATTTACCCGAGTGCCACTTTTTATGTTTATCTTTCTGCTAGCAGACACTTAAGATTTTTCAGGTCTTTCTTTTCTCGTGTTGCTTCTCTAGGAGTCAGTGTTTCACTCTACCACCACCATGATTGTCGTGGTGAAACAACGGTCTACAGGCATCAGTGGTCTTTGTCATCTCATATGCGTTGATTTACCACCGGCGGCGTTACTCTCGCCACTGGACACATGAGGCAGCTCGCATTCCTCGTGCCGGAGTAAATCACTGATAAATCACTGAAAACATGTCAGGATAGACCAGTGGCTCTTTGCTACTTAAAAGTTTTATGTTTTAAAAAGTGTCCAGTTTAACTTTTGAAAAAAGTTTTTACATTGGATTGGAATGCTGTTTTCTTTTTTGTTTTGTGCCCGCCGAGGACATTTATCCGGCCCGCCGGGTGGTTTTGCCCCGTTTCTTTTTTTACTTCAAAGTAAGATATGTGCAGTGTGCATAGGAACTTGTTCATAGTTGTTTTTTAACTATATTCCGGCCCTCCAACGGGTCTGAGGGACAGTGAACTGGCCCCCTGTTTAATAAGTTTAAGGACCCCTGCTGTAGAGCATCATCATTTTATTGGGAATGTTATAAATCATTCCTATGGGACATATGGGAATCCTATTAATAGTATCATTAATTTAACCAATGGTATAGAATTTAAAATTGTGTGGAGCAAAGCAAACCATATATGTACACGACAGCTTTTTAGTCTGAAGTACATAGATTGTTGATGTGTACAGATTTACAGACTTCAGTGACTGGACACTATTTACGCAAACACTGATGGTTGGAGATAGGACAAAGCTTTCAAGAACACTCACTCACAAATGCGGAACTACGCTTGCTGGACTAAGTCGTCACAGAAAAGCACAGAATGTATGAAAATACATGGTAGTGCTGAGTTGTCATGTAGTGAGCACCCTTGAAGCCAGTTTGACTTCCATGTCTGTAACCTTGGGAGAGTAATCAACTGCATCCTCTCACACCAGGGCATTTCAGCCTTCAGTCCAGTGGCCTAGTTCAGGTCCTATGATCTGCTACAGGTGTGTGGAAGGTAAAGTCCAGTTCACTTAGTGGGGTTTGCAAATCAGTTCTTGTGCTGTGGCCTGTGCAGGATGCTGTGCCCCTGACAGGACAGAGTCTACGTCCTGGTCGTCTACAGCACACTGCCCGAACCCCCAAGGGCTGAATCGAAACACTAGGTCGAAATGGCCCAACTGGGGACATAACACCGGGCATCTTCTCTGGTTGCGAAGCACGTGGCCCTTCCATGTTCAAGTTGCCCGTGAGCATCTATACATGTGTCCCATGGAATTTGAACTGGCTGTTTATTTGGAAAGCTGGTTGAATTTCTTTCTCCTTGATAAATGCTAACGAGTACTTCTCATTGCTGTCACACTTCAGGGAGAATAACGTTTGTGACGTGAATGCTGTGCACGGCTTGTTCGCCACTGGGACCGTGGAGGTGAGTGGGCGTGGGTTGCACCTGTGAAGCGTGTGCGCTGCTTTCAGAAACGCGTAGAGCGTTTCTTGGTCCTTGCTGCAGGGCGCTGCTGAGGCAGTCCCACTGGCGTGCCGTCTGTCCTGCAGCCGGCATCTGTCACACAGCTGCATAGCTGTCCCGCTGCAGTGAACTCTGTGCCCTTGCTCATCTGACGGGGCGTATATGTACACTGATTGGGGGCCACAGGATTGCCATCAGTGCTGCCTCCAGCACTCTGGATTCAATGGGAGGAAATGGGCTATGAGGTTCCAGCTCTCCGCTCCGCTAAGCAATCCTAATGCTGTTGAGCCAAATACGACTCTTAGCAGCCCCGTGTAGGCTTCCGAGGCTTGGTATTTCTGCTAGTGGGTGGTTAGTTTGGGGACTGAATGAGTTACTCTGGCTGAAGGAATTATATTTATCTCACCAACTTTATATAGGCGTTGGTGAGAATTATGGGGAACCAACCTATGTTAAAACATAATCTACCCGCTCCTCGCTTATTGACACAGGTAGGCTCCAAAGACCAGAGCGGTGTGCACGTGGCATTACTGCGGACTTCAGCGGCCATCCGCTCCTTGGCACTGGAGTCGGTTTGGAGGAGCCTTGGGACTGCCCCTCCCCTGAGCTTCCAGCCTCAGACTTGCTGGTCTCCATGCTTGGGGTGCGGTGGCTTTTTCATAGGAATGGACATTTTAACCAGAAAAATATTCAGGTGTAGGTCGTAGAAAGCCAGTGTGGTTAAAATGAAATATTACTCTGGGACCTCTCTGTATACCGTTTTATTTTTAAATCTGACTTCTTTTTCATGGCCGTACAGTTTGGTAACTTACTTTAAGAAGACTTAGATATATACAAAACCATTTGGTGAAGAAAAAAATATTTTTACCAGCATCCTGGAATGATCAGACATGCAGTCAGGATGTATTGATAATTACTGGAGTGTGAAAGTGGCTGACAAAGAAAATCGGGAACACATGCTCTTGGAAATAGAAATGCCACAGGAGAGCCACAGGGTAGGGCTTTACAAGACCAGGGACCTCTGCCTAGCAGATAACTGTGTTCAACAGCATAGAGGCCAAGGTACAGGCGGAGTTCACCACATGGACTGCACAGGCCCCACACAGCGACATCTGTGCAGAGACACGTCCGGGGAGCCTGACCTGAATTTAGAGGTCATATGGCCGCGAGTGGGACAAGGACATCGTTCCTGAAGAAAGCAACGGTGCATTGGAAAGTCAGGACAAGGAAAGAAAAGACCAACCCATGGACGTCAGAAGAGACACTCAAACTTGTCCTGGCACATAGAATGGCTAAAACAAAAGGAAGAAATAAAGTAAAAGAGCTGATTTCGCAGATTTCACAGGGCGACTTGGAAAGACAAAGCAACACATGATGAGGAGCTGCGCACAGACGCAGAGTGAGGAGCCCAGACGGGGAGCACACCCAGCATCTCAGGGCGAAAGAACCGTGGGAACGAATCCAAGCCTTGCGTTAGAATCCTGAAGGATCCCATGGAAATCTTGAGTGCCGCAGGAAGCGTCCAACGAAGATTAAAGGCACGCCCAGTTCCTGCACCGAGGCTGGTTGATGGGCCCTGTTTCAGGTAGGAGCACAGGGCCAAGAGCTGGAGGCTGAGCAAGTCCAAGCTCCACGGCGACCTCGGCGAGAATCACGACTCAAGGAAGTGACAGAGCCCATTGAAATATCCCAACAGAGATTAACTCTCGTCATGCTCACTGTCCGGCCAGGAAGTTCGGGAAGCAACTTCCTGGCCAGTCAACTAGCAGAAGGTCATACTGGTGTCCGTTCCAAAGAACTTGTCCCAGTAGAATGCAGAAATGATCTAGCCATGCCATTAGCTTCCTGTGCAAGTAAAATCTTGCTGAAGGTACTCGAAAAGCAATTGCAGCAGAACCTTGACGGGGAACGTTCAGAAATTCAAGCTGGTTCCAAAAGGAACGTGCCTTGAGGGAATATTGAGTGACATCAAATGGATCTTGGCTGAAAGCAGAGAATACCAGAAGGATGTTTTACAGACTGTCAAGACATTTGACTGAATTATAACAAATCAGGGATAGCATTGCAAAGAATGGGAATTTCAGATCATTTAACTGGGAGTCCTGGTCAGCATTTTGAAAGTACCAGTCAGCTCTGCAGGAAAAAGACGGGGCTTTCTACTGTAAAAAATTACAGTCACTAAAACCCCCAGGGGCAATTCTACTCGGTCCTCTAGGGTTCCCATGAATCAGAAAATGACTCATTGGCAGCGAGTTTGCTTTGGATTTTAAGTTACCTGTGCTCACCTGGATAAGGTGGGAACCCTGGTGGGGTGGTGGTTACGTGCTGGGCTGCTAACTGCAATGTCAGCAGTTTAAAACCACCAGCCGCTCCTTGGGGGAAAGCTGGGGTTTTCTACTCCATGAACGATTAAGTCTTGGAAACCCACAGCAGCAGTTCTACTGTGTCCTATAGGGTCGCTGTGAGCTGGTTTGGTGCTCACATGGAACCTGTACTCAGACCAAGAGGCAGGCGTTCAGACCAAACAAGGGGCTAGTGCAGACTTAAAGATCAAGAAAGATGTGTGCTAGGGGTGTAGCCTTTCACCCCACGCTAACTCAGTGTCTATGCTGAGCAAGTAGAGTAAGGATTAGGGGAAGACTCATTGACAGTATGTAATATGTAGATTTTGTTTGTTGAAAATGAAGAGGATTTGAAGCCGTTACTGATCCATAACTCCACAGCCTTCAGTATGGAGTACAACTCAATGCGAAGAAAACAAAAATCTTCACTAATGGACCGATAAGCCACATTATGGTACAGGGAGAGAAGAGTGAAGGTGTCAAGGATTTTATTTTACCCACGCCCATGGACGCAGTAGTCAAGTCAAATGACATATTAATTTTGGGCACATCTGCTACAAAAGACCTCTTAAAAGTGCCAGTTGGTGTGGTGTAGCAGTGATAGAACATACAACCTTCCTTTAGTTCTTAAATGCTTCCTCCCCGCTCCCCGCTATCATGATCCCAATTCTACCTTACAAATATGCCTAGACCAGAGCATGTACCTGGTACAGCTAGGAACTGGAAACACAGGGAATCCAGGACAGATGATCCCTTCAGGACCAGTGGTGGGAATGGCGATACTGGGAGGGTGGAGGGAGGGTGGGGTAGAAAGGGGGAACCGATTATAAGGATCTCCATATAACCTCCTCCCTGGGGGACGGATGACAGGGAAGTGGGTAAAGGGAGACATTGGACAGTGTAAGATATGACAAAGTAATTATAATTTATAAATTATCAAGGGTTCATGAGGGAGTGGGGAGCAGGGAGGGAGGGGGGGAAATGAGCTGATACCAAGGGCTTAAGTAGAAAGCAAATGCTTTGAGAATGATGAGGGCAACAAATGTACAAATGTGCTTGACATACAATGGATGGATGTATAGATTGTGATAAGAGTTTTATGAGTCCCCAATAAAATGATTTAAAAAGTGACATCCCCATTTCACTCCACCTTAAAGTATTAAAAAACAGTCGCTTCCTTGTTCTATAGTTTGCAATTCACTTTTTCATCTGTTTTGACTTATTTTTTCTAGTTTTAAAAAATTCATTCTTTTAGAAAAGTTGAAAAGATAGTTTAGTAATCAGTTGCATATCTTTTAAAAGGATCCCAGGTGGCTCTGTCAGGTAGTGTTTGACTGCTAACCTCAGGGTCTGCAGTTCAAATGCACAAGCTGCTGTGTAAGTGAAAGATGAGGCTCTCTGTTCCCATAATGATTTACAGCCTGGGGACCCCCTGTAGAGTCTTCTTTTTTTTTTTTTTTTTTTTAACATTTTATTAGGGGTTCATACAACTGTTATCGCAATCCATACACACATCAATTGTGTAAAGCACATTTGTACATCATTCTCAGAACATTTTCTCTCCACTTAAACCTCCGACATTAGGTCCTCATTTCCCCCTATAGAGTCTTCGTGACTCAGAATTTATTCAATAGTGTCAGTGGGTATGTTTCTTTATTTGTTTCGTGTTATATACCTTTTGTAGATTTGCTTTCTCTGGAAAACATTTAAATATATTTTAAATTAGAAAATAAGTTTGAAGCAGTATGATGTTTCAGTCCTAAGTATTTCAGAATATATTTCCTAAAAACAAGGACTTTCCCCTGTATGATCATAATGTCCTCCTTGAGACAGTCACTGTTGATAAGCTAATTTTCTGTATCTATTATCACTCATTTAAATTTTCCGAGTTATACAGAAAATGTCCTTCACAACTGTTCTCATTCTAGGATATAATTAGAGAATGCACATTGCATTGAGAATGCTTTTCTTAAAGTTTTTTTAAAAAACAAAGTTACTGAGCTCATTGAAACAATACCAGAAAGGTGTAGAGGAGGCCTAGTGGGCAAGTGTTGGACTGCTCACTCTCTGCAAGGTCAGTGGTTCAAGTCCACCCGCCACCCTGTCTGCTCCTGAGAATATGTAGTCTCTGAAACCCTATGTAGAGTTTAGTCACTGAGTTGAAATGATTTGTAGCAGCGGATTTGGTTTAACAGGGACTATGACAAAAAACAAAATGCTTATTCTCCTTGTGAGAATCAGTGTTAATGACTGTTAGTTTTGTAGTTGTCTGAACATTTTCTTTTGAGTTGCAGCTGTCATTTAAAATGGCGGCTTTGTGTTTGTTTAGGGTCGAGTAGAGTGCTGGGACCCACGAACTCGAAGCAGAGTTGGCCTGTTAGATTGTGCCCTGAGCAGCGTCACAGCGGATTCAGAGTAAGTACGAACTAAATGTTTACTATAATGAAACATTACTCATCAGCTTCTATTTTAAGCAGATGTATCAGTATACTAAAATGTTTATAATGCAGTAAGTAGCTAAAGGACAAAATCCTTAAGAGGATTGCATTTTTATGATTGATTTAAAAATCTTTTCTGTAAAAAGGCAGGGAAGTGATGTTACGTTCTGGAGACTGCGATCAGTGACCTCACACAAAATGCGTATGAATTGTTGAATGGGAAGGTGATTTGGTCTATGAACCTTCACCGAATTCACAGTACCACACTGAAAAAGTAAAACGTCGCCAAGTTAGGTAAGCCAGGTACAATTCTTTTCTATAGCGCTGCATAGGAGACCTGATTTCTTTAGCTGCAGTGACATTTTGTTGAGCTAAGTCTACTCTGGAGCTCATGCTTCCAGTTAGTCAGATGTAGTGAAAGAACCTAGACTCCACCTGCCCCCCAACCAACGAGCCAGAACACGTGCTGTGAGTTATGTAGGGTTGAGAAAACAGTTTTCTAGGTTTGTATAGATGTATCACTTGCTTATTCAGATCCCTGGCATGGGAGTGCTTGCTGTAGTCAGCTCAAGGATGCCTCTCACTGGGCTCTTAATATGCGTGGCATGTTGACTATATTAGTATATTTTCATTTCAGTTGGTCAAACATTTATCCTGGGTAGCTACAGAGAGTCCGTGAACCCTCTCAGTTATTGGAACGTGATTGTGTGGTTTGCATATTTCTGTGGGAGAAGACCCTTAGTTTGTTCTTTTAAAAAAAATTCTATCTATGTAGAGGATCCTTGACCAGAAAAAAGAATCGGTGAAATAGAATGCATTGGTGCAGTTACCAGCAGAGCCGTTAGGTGGCACAAGAGACTTGATGATGCTAACAGTCAGCAGCCTGGGCTGGACGTCCTGGACCAGGGATACGTGGACATTGTGACTTGAAATTAGAACCGTTGTCCCTTTTTGGTTTTCATCCAGCCTCTTTCCACAGAGATCATTCTTTTGGCTCTGGTGCTGTTGATAGGGGAATCAGAAGTTTATTTTGGAATCATAGCCTTAATCATTCATTCTCACTTAGGTACTTAAGGGGTTTTTGAGTCCCAAATTAGGGACTAGTCTTTAAGGTAAACTTGTCATGTCTGACTTTAAAATGGAAATGAATATACTATGCCCATGTAAGATAGTTTCTTTGCTTAAATACATAATACATAAAGGAGCTATTTCTGTAAATATCTTATTCTGGCTGTATTAAAATGAAGATAGTGGTGTAGTGGGTTAAGCCTTGGGCTGCTAACATCCAGCGTGCCAATTCGAATCCTCCAGCCACTCCGTGGGAGAAAGCTGGGGCTTTCTGCTCCCGTAAAGATGTACAGCCTGGAGACCCAAGGCAGCCCTGCTCTGTCCCCCGGGGTGGCAGTGAGTGAGTCCACTTTCACACTGCTCCTTGTCCGTTGGTTGTACTTTCTCCAGTAACTTGTTTTTTGTAGTTGAGTATATTTCTTATATATATTTTAAGAAGATAATGTATAGATCTTAGAGGATAGACTATGTATGTTAAGCTTATTTTTAATTTTGATTATGAAAACTTGAAGGCAATTATCTTTAAACAGAAGGCGCAGTATAATTTTACCCCTTACGTTTGAACTGAAGATTAATAATGAGCTTGCTTTAATGAAGGAGCTTGGCCTTATATACATGGAACATGAATATTTTGCCTTTTAGGGTAAACAGTTTACCAACCATCTCTGCTTTGAAATTCAATGGCGCCTTGACCATGGCAGTTGGAACATCCACAGGGCAGGTAAATACGCTTGTGTTGCTCTGGAAAACATCCACACGTATCCTAACCAGAGAGCTGTACATGAGGTTTTACTGTTTAGGCCAGAGTGGCGAGGTTGTGCCCGTGTGTCTGGCTCTTCTGGACCCTTGGGGAAGTTTGAGTCTAGCCTGGGTAGTCTGTCTGGGAGGCTCGAGAACTGGAGCCTCAGTTCTCTTGGCAGTGAGTGGGAACATTGTCTATAGCGCATGGAATAGAGTTCTTTGGTCAGAACAGGGGGATGGAGACAGCAGTCAGTGTAAGATATGAAAATAAGGATAGTTTATAATTTATCAAGGGTTCACAAGGTGGGGAGGGAGGGAAAAAAGGGGAGCTGATACCAAGGGTTTAATAGAAAGTACTGTATATTCTCGAGTATAAGCCAGGTTTTCGCACATTTTAAATGCAGTTGTGTGGTAAAATTAGGTGCCTCAGCAGATACTTGGGTTGGCTTATACATTAGTATATACGGTAGGTATATAGTTTAACATGTACAAATATGCTTGATACATTGATGTATGGATTTTTATAAGAGCCCCCAATAAAATGATCTTTAAAAAATAACTAAGAGAATAAATCACTCATCCATTCATCTAGCCACCCACCCTTCTGTCCACACACACAGGCTCCTGTCATCTTTCCTTCTGGTTACTAGCTAACAGAGTGGAATAAACCTACTCCTGACAGCAAGCAGAAAACTTAGAACAAACCGTTTATTTGTCTTGAATTTACCAAGTCTCTCTTCATTATAAGCCCTGGTGGCATATTGGTGTAAGTGTTGAGCTCTAAGGGCAAGGTCAGTGGTTCAAACCCACCAGCCATTCCACAGGAGGAAGGTGAGGCAGCGTGCTCTCATAAAACGTGCAGTCTCGGAACCGGAGGAGCACTTCTAATTGGCCCCGTCGGTCCCTGTGAGGTGGGATCGATGCAGAGGCAGCACGTTTGGTCTGGACTTTTCGTCGTCTTTTTGGGGTTTATGTTAGTTCCTCTGACATTGCCTGGCATGTCGTAGGCCCTCCTTTTATACGAGGGCTTCACAACGTTCCTGGGAAAGTGGAATTGAAAAAGAATGGAAGTTTTCCACAAACTTTCCTCATATATGTTGAATTAAAGTATGAAACAGCTTTCTTTGGCTAGAAACTGAGTAAAGGAGGTCATTGTTTTTGTAAAAAGGTAATAAGACAAACTGTGATCTGCATTCAGAATGGTTCCTTTTAATATAAAGATTTAATTTGTTTAAGCAGAGGCTAATTCTTTTTATTATCTTTTCTAGGTTTTATTATATGATCTTCGATCAGATAAACCATTACTAGTGAAGGATCACCAGTATGGTCTGCCCATTAAGTCCATTCATTTCCAGGACTCGTTAGATTTAATTTTGTCTGCAGACTCTCGAATCATCAAAATGTGGAATAAGAACTCAGTACGTACTGTTTGTTGAAATTATTTCCTTACTCGCCTAGTATCCTAATTCGTCTTTTCCTCCCGCGGCTGTGTTTCCGTTATGCGGGTGTTTGGGGTGAGGATACCGAGCAGCCACCTGAGAATTTGGTAGGAGATCAGTCCAGGATAAAGGCTGTAGTCAGACTGAGAAGTCATGCTTGTCCTCTTTCTGTTCGTCTGTTGTCTGATTCTCAAAGACGGGCCCATGCGCACGTGTTTCGTTGTTTAGGAACTGTTGTCAGAAGCTGGCCAGGAGAAGGCCCCAGGATCTTGAGGCTCCTCACCATTCTAGGGACGTTTCTATGAACTTCGGCTGACCTTTCCTCAGCAATGTCAGACCTGCTCATTTCATTCCTTTCTCCCAATCAGACAGCAGAGTTTTAATGAAATGACACCTCAACTTTACAAAAAAAAAAAAGATTTAATATGCTCTCACTTGGATCCCAGAAGCCTGCTTGTAGTATGAGTGTATTGCTGTGCTGCCTACTGAAAAGTCAGCAGTTCAAATCCACCTGGGCAGTCCATGGGAGAAAGAGGAGGCAGCGTGTTTCTATAAAGATTTACACCCTCAGAAGCCCGAGGAAGCAGTTCCACTCCGCTGCCCTGTAGCAGGACGCTGAGCTGGCATTGTGGGTTGGTTGGCTTTGGTGGGTTTCCTCAATTCCAGACATCATTTAAAAAGTAACAGTAAACCTATATTGCTGCCCTAATCCACCTTACGTTAACAACAAATATCTGGAGAGAATTTTGAGAATGGTTACTTTGTAAGATAAATGTGGAAAATTCAGTCTAGCAGTTGCTTTTTAAGAGTTCTTTGCATGTAATTCATTAGAAAGTAACATTTTAGTACAAAAACGTTGTCACCGGTCCATCTGTTTCTGAGACAAAGGAGGTGAAAGACGCACCAGAGTCAGTGCTAGTTAACAGAGAGCGGGCGACACTTGGCTGCAGAAGTTGCACGTGCTATAGGAGACCCATGACACTCCAATTTCTTGTCAAAACCGCTGACTTTCAAAAATCATTACAACTATTCCCTTACTGAATATCTCATTTTACATTTTGCATGTGCAACACTAGTAAAAATTGCACTGTTTTATATATTAGCATTGTACATTTGGCATTAATGAATGCTAAGGTAGAAAGTACAACTACTGCTACTACTACGATGAAGGTTATAGGTCAGCTTGGCAGTTACCTAAAGATGTAATCGCCATCCGCTTTGTGGGTCACATCTGATGTGATCATCCTCCATTTCAGTATAGTACTGGGTTTTACATAGCAACCCAGTCTTCTGAACCTAATGTTGCTAAGTGAGGAGTGGGTGTGCTTATATTTCCATTTTGTGAACTTCAAGCGTCATGACTTCCACGAGCTAGCCTTCCACCTGCATCTGTCGCAGCGACTCCGTGCTCGCCTCAAGGTGTGTGTGGCCTCTCAGTTCCTCTGTATGTTCTAGCGAAGAGGCTGTGCTTCCAGATTGTCAAAATTCTTAGAAAAATGACCCTGATGATTTCTAGGAACCTCCTGTGCTGTTTGCATTTGTGAGCTTTGGAGTTGGAAGTTTTCCAAGGCTTTGTTTAGAAAATTTCTTGCATTCTTTTGTATCTTGGAGCAGAATTTTCCCTGCTCTCTTTCTGGCATTCCAAACTAACTTACTTTAAAATAATGTTTACTGCTAATACTAAAATATTAAAGTTAATAATGTTATACTTGACAGCGTTTTTCCTCTCCCCCTCCTTAAAGGTAATAGTGACTAAAGTTTTGGTGACAGTATCGTACGCATTTGTAGGAATTTTGTTGTGTGCTCTGTTTGAAATCCCTTATCTCACTACTAGATTTCCCTGGGAACCTTGGGGTGCAGGCAGACAGCGTTGACCAGGCCTTGCCTGTCTGTGTGTGCATTTTAAGTAGTGTATAACTTACACGTTATAAAGACTTTTCTTTTAAAATGCTGGTATACAACTTTATGAAAGTGTTTTTATAAATCTTATATTTTTGGACAAGTCACTTCTCCGAGTCTCAGATTCTCCATCTCTAAATTGAGAGTAATTCATTAGTGGATCAGGTGGGTTCTCCAAGGCCCTTTTAAACTTAGATTCTGTTCTTTCAGTTATGGAGCTTAACTTCCTTCCACCTAGCAGGAGCCAGGGAGTAATGTCTTTGGTCTATTTTCTCTGTGCCAAAAGCTGTTTCCTTTATTTCAATAATCCCCTTCCCCTTTTTTTGTCTTTAGGGAAAAATATTTACCTCCTTGGAACCAGAACATGACATTAATGATGTCTGCCTTTATCCCAACTCAGGTATGCATTGTGTAGTAAATAACCCTTCGGTGATACAAATCTAGGCTTTACGTAAAGGATTTTAGTCGCATTTTATGTTTTAAGATAGGTCACGTATTGTAGTGGTTGCCAGTGATTCGGAAAAAGCAGTCTTCATGACTCAGACCCCAGCAGCCTCGGTGTTAGTAGGGACTCGTGCTGGGCACGGGTGGGTGGCAGGTCAAGTGGTATTTTAGGCTATTCTTTGGTGCTTTCATGTGATTGGTAAGAGTGTGTGGAAATTGAGGTTAGGGATTTGGCAAAGCTGTCTAATATGCATGGCTGAAAATGCCCCTTGTGTGTTCTATCCTTGATGTTGCATGGACACTGGTCAGCAAAATCCTTGACAGATTTTGAGATTTATTTATTTCCTTTGAGGAAAATCTTTGAAGATTTGGGACTATAAGAGAAAAAAAAGAACCGTTTCCATTCTCAGGGAAGAGGAGCAGATGAACAGACATCACT